ACTATTCAATAATTTAAAGGTCTTCAAATATTTGATTATTGTCGAAGCCAACCCTCTAACACCACAAAAAATTTGATTTCTCACCATGTACATCAATTTTAACACTTTTTTTATTACAATCAATCATTACAAAGTTTTCAAATAGTCAATTGATGCCCAAAGTTGCATCAAATTCAACCAGTGGCAAAATGATTAAAAGTACATCAAAATTCCACTCATAAGTAATTAATTTTACTTTGCATAATCGATTTACTTCCATATGACTCCCACTTGTCAATTTAAAAGAAAAAATAGTTGGCATTAATATAATATTCAGACTTATCAATCTAACCAAATCATCAACAAAAAATGAATGAGATGCCCCATATCAAATAATACGTTTATTGGTTTATCCTAAAGAATTAAGATACCTATTATAAAAAAAAATTATAGTGAGCACTTAGGGAATTCTTTAATACATGTTTAATTTTATAACCATAAGAATCAAATAGGTTATGATGCAATTAAATCTTTTCTTTTTATTATCATCTAGGTCACATGAGTTATCATTTCATAAAATGCATGAATGCCACGTATTATAATCCATGGCATACTAGTTCATATGTTATCATGTCTTACTTTATCTTTCCTATTATTCATAATTTTGAAATAAAATAAACCAATCTAATTAGTCTCAATTAAACTTTAAATTTATATTATTTATACTTTTATTCAATCATCCTAATGACATTTTTATCAAGGTTGACCATGACCATAACTTGTCTCTAATATCACTATTGTCACGACCCGACCTTGTAGTTCAGAATTAATCATTTCTAGAACTGTGGTAGAGCGATATTAATATTTTTTAAAAATACAATAAACCATTATAATTTTTCAATAATAAAAATAGTCACTAAAAACCATAGTACACTAAGCAAAAATCAAATCAAACTAAAGTAACAACATAGTCTGAAAGTAAAATATTATCGTAATCCAACTAACAATAGTACAACATTAATCTAAAATAAATAGTACAAAAAATTATAATTGTATCAAAGATTATTACTTCGTATGAGTAGTCCTATAAATCAACTCTCTTATGTCAGTTATATCAAACTAAAATTTTACCTAAAAGAAATAATTAATTTAAACGGTAAGATTTAAATTGATATACAAAAGCTATGTATGAATGTCCGAAGGAAATGTAATTCATTAATTAATCAAGTTTTGTAAACTTTCATTTAAATTAGCTCATTTTGTTGAATTTAAGGGTCCGTTTGGGGCCTCTTATAAGTGCGGGCGGCGTTTTCAAAACGTCGTCGTACCGTTTGGTTCGCACGTTTCGTCAGTTTATCTGAAACTGTGTTTGGGTTTTTACACTAAACGCAGGCCGCGGGTTGACCCCTGCGCGGGCCGCGTTTCAAGATAAGCAGTTTATCCTGAAACGCACAAGCTGCCCCAAACGGACCCTAAGTCATTTATTTTTTTATCATTTATCTTCTTTATAAGAAGTCATATCAAGATCACATTCATACACAAAAATATTCTCAAAAATTTATAAGCATAGGTACTCTCAAAAGTTTATATTCGTAGAAACCCTAAAAATTTTGCACCAAATTGTGTACTCTTTTAGAATTAACCAAATCTGGAATTGCGGTCGGACGGTATTAACCTTTTTTTTTAATTATGCAATAACTCATTATAATTTTTCAATAATAAAAATAGACACCAAAAACCATAAAGTACACAAAACAGAAATCAAATCAAACCAAAGTAACAACATAGTCTGAAAGTAAAATATTATCACAATCCGACTAAAAATAATACAACATTAATCTAAAATAAACAGTACAATAAATTAGAATTATATCAAAGAATATTACCTAGTATCAGTAGTCCTCCTGTAAACTAACTCTTATGTTAGTCATATTAACCTAAAATTTTACCTAAAAGAACCAATTAATATAAATAGTATGTTTTAAATTAATATGCAAATGTTATGCATGAATGTCCAAAGAGAATGTGATTCATTAATTAATCAAGCTTTGTAAACTTTCATTTTAAATTAGCTCTTCCTATTCAATTTAAGTTATTTATCTTTTTAACAATTGTCTTTCTTTTTAAAAGGCATATCAAGATCACTGTCAAATCAAAAGATATTCTCAAAAATTTATACTCATAAGTACTCTCAAAAGTTAATACACGTAGATGCCCTCAAAATTTTGCACCGTAATGTATATTTTTTTTTCATTTTAATTTTATTTTTCGTGCACGGGTACAATAGCACCCTCGTCTAAAATCATAAGGGGGTAAATCTTGATTAACTTAAACATTTACTTATCATTTCATAACAATTTAAAATTATTTAAAAACACTTTCATATTTTAATTATTTTTCTCTCATTTATGAGACAATTTTCAAGTATTCAAAATATAAATTATAAACATATCTGCTTTTAAAACAATATTGCAAGTTCAATTTTATCAATATTACTATTATCCTTTATGCTTAAAATACAACTTTTAAATGAATTATTAATTTAATACCAATAAGAAAGCAGTTACTCACCTAAACCCTTCAATGTATTTCTCTTTCCCCTTGGATTTTCCTTTCGTATCTTTTAATTAATACTCATTACCCCTTTGATTGATGATTTAAATTGATAAAACTTAAAATTAATTTAATTAAATTTTACATAAATAAACAATCATTTTATATAATTAAGAACTTAAAACTCATAACACTTACCTCCCTTCACTGTCGTCACTTCTTCTTGGTTATAGAATCTAAAAATCCTTCTAGTTATGCTTCCTCAAGCATTTACATTACCAATTATTTATTTAATATAAATAAAACCCAAACAATAAACTTGTCCTAAATGTCGTAATTTCTTCTCCCTCAAATCTAAAATTTTGAATTAAACATATTATTAATAGTTCATAATTAAACATGCATTTTAAATTCAATGATTAAAATGAATAAACCCAAACTCACCTCTCTTCATTGAGCTCGGACAGGCTTGCTCAGTTTCGAACTTCGTCACCTTCTTTGCTCGAAGCCGCAAGTAGAGTCGCTCCCTTCCCCTATTCCTTCGCACGTAGCCACCTAAACCCAAACTTCTCACCATTTTTCTTCTTCTACTACTTCTTCTTCTTCTTCTTCTTCTTCTTCTTCTTCTTAGAGCGCAACAACATCTTTTGCCACGCTCGAGCATGAAAGATTCTTCCCAAAACACAGTGTTCCTCGCCTTGTTCTCCTTCCTCTCCTTCCTTCTCACTAGAGCCTCTCAACGAAACATAACCTCCTTCTATAAGCCGCTCAAATCTGCACGAGGCTTCGCTAGGGGTCGTACCATCTCGCAACCTGCATTACCGCTCATCTCCCTCTGCTTCTTCTTCACCCAAAGCCTTTGGCGACAAACGACGAGTGAAAATATAGTCAATGACATTGAAACCCTGCTAAGAGAAAATGTGCGACTCTTGCTTCTTCTCCGCACTGCATATCTTGCTCGTCCTCTCTCTTTTTGTTTCCAAAATGAATGATTGTTTCAAATGTAAGCATTTGTTGTCTATTAAAAATCGTCAAAACTTTTCATCGAACCTTGTTGTAGATTCAAATATTCTTCATTTATTTATTTTCCTTTATTATTTTTTTTAGGTAAAATTACTACACAAGGCAACAAATGTTAATGCATGTACTCCACATACCTCGCATTAGCTTCACGTTCTTGTCGTTTTATCCCCTAAATTAGCAATTACCCCTAACCTCCTACCAAAGTCCTAATCCATCTCAGACATTCGGTCCTTAGGCACCTTCTAAGAATTCTAGAGCACATATCCTTTGACCATGTGGTTTCGCACCTAAATGACATCACAATAAAGAATGGTTATAACTTGAGCTCTCTACTGAATGAGTCACCGTAAAACATTATTAAATTATAGTCACAACGAGCGTCTGTAAATTTTCCAATAGCTCAAAAATCCCCCAATGTGATAAATTACAAGGTGTGCTTGATAGAGCATGAAATATTATATTAGCAAAGAGAGATTTAAATGATTCTCTGAATAAAACATCTACCCAAAGTATATACGGTCCTCCTGAATAATGTAACTTGTACGCTAATATGTTTGAACAACTACCTTCTCTGTCAAAGTAAACCAAGATCAACATAATTTGAGATAATGGTAGCATGAGATCATAATTGTGTTTGTTATCATTTCTCACACCATCCAATTTAAATTAAAGTTGATAATTTTTTTAATCTAAAAACAAAAATGCTACAACTATATGTTAAGCAATTAAATCATAAAAATTTGTCTTAAAGGAAAAAAATTTTCTCAAGCAAAAGGAAGTGGTAGTTAACCAAACAATTTTACACTAATGAAAAACTTGAAACTATATCAAAATATGCTCACAAAATGTGGCAAAATCTCTTAATAGTGTCTTATCTAGAATTTGATCTAACATATAACAATTTGACCCCAATCCACAAATATCTCTCCAAAGAGCTAAGCATAAATTTTTGAAGCCCACTGGCAGTATAAGAAAGAATCATAAATTCTTATAAAGCCATAAAGGTGTCCTCTATGGCATTAAAGGGGGGAAAATTCATCCATCTAATTAAAGACTATTTGAAATTAAAATTGCTATCAAATATTTATTTATCCGGAAAACAATATAGCTACAGCAATAATAAGGAACGTCCTCATAAGGCTATCCCAGGTAATTTCAAAAAAAAAAATGAATTTATTGTTCTAAATCAACAATTCAAAACTCTCACGACAACAATTATTTTAATAGCCTATCTGCCTAGATCTTTTTCTCTTTTCTTCTTCTTTGCTAGTTCCGCATATTATGGAAGAGCACGTGTGACAAAAAGACAGGAACATTGTCTGTAATTCCATCTTTGTGACTAAAATAGTATGACGCTACAGTAATAAGAAAAGTAATACTATTGGGAATGGCATATCATCAATAAAATCCAAAAATCTCACGCAAAACAAAGATATAGTTTTTACCATCACATTATAGTGAATCAATGTGTAATCCATATCATAACCGATGGCACTAATTGACCGGAAATTTAAAGTCCTGCTACAGAATATCCCATGTGCAGAATGCCTGGCCGTAAATGGTTCCTGCAATCAGTTTAACTGTGTGAGATAAAAGAAAAACATATTTGTTTCAACAAAGATGCATGGAATTGTAAAATGAGCATCCACCAATCAAAGCATTAACTAAATAAAATTCATAGAAATAGAAGATAGTAGTTAGCACCCAACCACATGTACTCGTACACAAAGAACAGCTCATCCATTTCATTTGCCTAAAATAAAAAAAAAAAGAATGCAGGCAATGATTTCAAGCTTTGAACAATTCAGCATAATAATCTGCTTTTGCAGTACATTAGAAATTTATGTGTGGCAGCATTTAGACAACACATAAAATGACCTAAAAGGATGAATACTAACTTAAATTAAATCAGAATAAATAGAAAGTTAATCAACAAAGGTTGAAATCAAATAAAGAATGAGTAAGCAACAAGAAAGGAAAGACTGCCAAAGTGATGTAGAAACTCCCCAAGTCAAGCAGTGGGGACTTGGGCCGAATTTGCAAAACCAAAATTGTAGGAGATTAAACTATGTGGTATTTGTTAAATAGAAAATGAATATTATAGTAACATTGATAATTACTGCTTAATGTACAGGGCGTATTTTGAAAATCAGTGGCAGGCTTAGTTACCAATGTGAACAAGAACACAAGACCAAAAGACTACGACACATCAAAAAAAAAAATGGAACAAGCAACAAACAGAAAATAGAATTTACCATAATACCCAAACCGCTAAGCAATGCCTCAGCTTCTTTGACTTCAGTCTTGGCTATCTCCTCTATAGGACCATCCAAAGCTGCCTCACGGTCCATACCTAAAATTGACGTTGAGTGTTAAAAAGATTGAAAATTGTACACAATATCCACTAATTACATTAGAGAACTATTAATGAAAATCTCCTACATTAGCAGTTTCAAAAATCAAATAAAACTTCCAACAAATAACTAAAGGCTTATTTTCTATATATAAATATATCAAAGTGAAGTACAAGAAGGAATTGAAGAAATATAATGAATTATCCAAGATAACCCGAGGGAGCAACTATACTTCTAAACTACAATAACCCACAAAAAAAGAAGATAATAACTATGTTGGTCTTTTTTAATATATTCTTAAAAATCATTTAATAATTTAAATCATATATTCATGATAATTACTCATTGATGAAATTTAAATATGATCATGGGAAATATAATTTTTTCTACAAGCATCAACTTTTATTTTACATTTCAAAGTGCAGTCTATTAAGCTTTAGTGTACTTCTTATTATCAATTTTTACATCCATCTCAGAAGTATCATCAAAATATAACTTAAAAAACATCTAGCCGATACATACGCCGTTGGCACAGCAATTTACAAACCATGTCTACTATTTTCTGAGGTGGAAATATATCCCTGGTCAATATTCTCACGACAGCACAGCGGTACATAATGTAAATTACATGATTATTTGAGGTGGTAAGCACCCACCCTAGACAATATTCTCTTATTGGCACAATGGCTTGTGATCTAAATTACACGATTATCTAATGAGGTAGAATGCCTAATCACCCCTGAGTAATACTCTCTCATCCAAATAGTAGTTAGTGATATAAATTACACAATTGTCTGAGATTACAAAAAAATATCTACGCGCACTAGTACATTGGTATCCCCTGCCGGTACCGTAAGGGGTTGAATTCATTCTCTTAACATACACATATAAGTATTTATATATAAAATATTTTTATTTCATCATTGATAGCACACATTATTGATTTCAATTTTGTTAATAATTATTTCAAGGTAATTGGTGAGAAGCCTAAAGTAGAAGAAAGAGAACTTTGTTGCAGGAAAGAATTAAGGCATGAAACATATTTTAAATGTTCAATTATTCTTTATATAATTAAATTAGGTTCAGAAACCAAATTAAAGTGTTTCTAAGTTAAGAATGTTAAAGAGAAGCTTAGGAAAGTAAATTTATTTAAATACAATATTGTATAGTACATAGTAACACTATGACATAGCTTAATATTAAGATAAAAATCTGGCTAAATCAATTAGTTACATGTTTCAAAAAAAAACAAGAAATTTGGATAATTATATTTATATTGGTATATGTAAATGTTTATATAATTAAATAAATAGTTAATTAAATTAATAAATTATGAAAATAATAATAGAAAATCAAAAATTTATAGGAAAAAAGATTAGCCAGAAAGAAGTTACTTACATTTAGATTATGATTATAGATGCACCTATGAGAAATTTTCACTGAAAGAAAAAAATGACAGCCGAATGACTGTACAGGTAAGTGAATATTTTTATTTTATAATAATATTATTTAATTATACATGTGTTTACTGATTCTCATCTTTTCTTTTAAAATGGAAAAGATCTTATTTTCATTTAAATGTTAAATGCAAGAAAAAATATATATAATATAATATATGCATATATATGGGAGTCAATCATAGATGGTACTGGTAGAAAAATGCAATGTACCAAGCACACAAAATAAAAATAGAAACAAAAATAATTGTCTACCTTTATGGTGAGTTGAAAAAAGTTAAACATATATTTTTTTAAAGTGTGTGTTTAGACAGTGACACTCAATAATGAACAATGTAACATAACTAAATAAAATAAATTTAACTATTTTCCTTACTGTTCTCTTCTATTACACAGTCTTTTTACTGTTACAACACCCTTTACAATATAATTTAAATAAGAATTAGTGTAATTTAAAAATATTTGTCCACTGAGCAGTTTTAACTCAACCTTTAGTTGCTAACATTTCACAGGAAAACTTATTGTAGACTAGATGGAACACGAAGTGCATGTGTACAGGCGTCGTGGAGCCCAAGTTGATAGGTATCATAATTCAAGTTTATTTTATATTAGATTTAAGTGTTTAAATATGAATAAACTGTTGTAAATAAAAATTTTATGAAAAGAATAACTCTTTTGTGTTTTAGAATATATTTTGTTGTGAAATAAAACTATTAAATATTTTTCTTCCGTCCAACTGACAATTACTGTCTTGATAATTCCAATCTACTGAGTTGAGTCGTGATACAAGCATATTGAGATTGATTATCATTTCATTCAGGACTACATCAGATTGAGAAAGCTCTAAATTCACTACATCAACACTCAAGATCAACTAGCCAATATTCTCCCCAGATAGTCGTTCAATCTACTTCACTCCAAGCTAATGATTTTTCCAGAACTCATCACCTTGTCGGAGGATACTACCACTATCATGTCAGTGTAAAGTAGTATAACAAACTCCTACACACTAACTGTCGAGGGATAACCTCCACACTCAAACTGTTGAGATAAGTTAGTTATACATGTCGTTAGAACCTTCTTCCAATCTTATATATTCTCAGCACTGTACTTCATGATTTAGTAAATTGAATAAGATAGAATTCCTATTGTGTGCAGCAGTTCGGTTATACCTTTACTACTATCATATACCAAAGTAAGAGAAGCAAAGCTTATGGGTCAGAATAGTGGGATACATTCGAACATGAAAGGAAGGTTTTCTCAATCATATTTTCCTTACAGTAATATGATCTAGCTCAAATTCACGACAACAACAACAACAAGAAGCCTTTCTCCCACAAAGTGAGGTCGGCTACATGAATCTTTTTTCTCCATTGCGTCATATTGAGTGGCATATTTTCATCTAATTCTAATAAATTAAAATCACTAAACAAAAATATTAAAAATAATCATTTCATACAAAGAAGCAAAAGTTAAACTAATAAATTTTTTGCTCTAGTAGTTATAAGAACCAAAGTATGATGTAACAAATTACAGTAACAACAATCAACGCAAGGTCAATGCATTCGACTTAAGCTCTGCCCGTAAATTAGAACAGTGTCATTTTGCATGAAGCATAGCCGAAGCATTAGGCTTAACTTCTTTTAAAAACCAATTCCACCCTCACTGAATTGCAGTGCACTGTATATTAAGCATGCTTTCCGCCAAAAAAGCTTCATTTATAGTTTCATTATACCCAATTAACAATTAAGTAAGGAAACTATAGAGAATTGATCTTCTACACAACTCACCAAACGCCTCCAAATGCTCTTGCCTGATATTCAAATCCCCTTTCGTGCTTTGGCCGAGATAATCCACATCCGATTTACTAGAAGAAGTCTCCGAGAATACCTGCTGGCTAAGGGATTTCTCCTCTAGAGCTCGATAGAAAATCCTCCGTCGCCTCCTCGATCCTGTGCTCGGGCAGCTTATTGCAATCGACGGCTTAAACGCAACTGTTATAACTGCCTGAGCTTGGGCATGCGGCCGCCACAGTGAAAAAACACCAAAAATCTCGATACAATCCATCACTTTCCAAGTGATTTGGACTGCAAAACGGCTTTGGCCTGTTTAGAAGAACGGAATCAGACGGGCAATTCGTCCAGCAGCTTCACCGCTTGTTAAAGATAGAGAAAGGGAATGGACGAAAAAGAGATGCTCACGAGGAGCGCTTTTTCTGTCCGGACTCGGGACTTAGAACTCTTGGAGGAGTACAAATGCATGTGTGGATTTCACGCAGGAAAATTGTAAAAAAAAAAACATAAAGATATTTTAAAAAAAACTTAAACCTGTTTTTCAGCCAGACCCAACGTTTAGATTGTCCCGTCTTTCGACTATCTCATTTTAAAGAAAACTTTTTAGGCTTCCTCTAGTCCGACGTCAGAAGTTTCCACCCCGATTTCATGCTCACCTGGGGTTTTGTCGTTGCTCTGCTAGGGTTCGCTGTGCTTCTGCAGAGGGGTGAGAAGGTCGGAGTGACAAAATGAAGTCTTATGATCCCCAGAATATGCAGTTGGAAGATATGAGAAGGTCGGAGGAGGCTGGGGAAACGGAGCATGAATAGCCAAATGAGATGAAGAAAGATAGTATGAAGGAGGGCGTTGAAGCCTAAACCTGTTCTTCGTAAATTTTATTGAGTTATTCTTGCATTATTTGATAGTTCATCTCGACTGTAATGTTATTATGGGGTTATGATTGGGTTATTATAGATATAAACTCGCTTTTGTTTCGGATTTTTGAGCTAGTTGTGTATTATTTTTGGGTTATTCAACGGTTATATAAGAGTCTACGCTCGCTTTATTTTTTAATGTTATTATTAAGTTATTTTTACATTTTTCTTGCGTTATTTTAGAGTTCATCTTGATTGTGTCTTTACTAGCTTATCTGGTTAATGTGGGGTTATTTTGGACTTATTATTGAGTTATTCTATATTTAATTTCGTTTTTGTTTTGGATTTAAGTTATTTGTGAGTTATTTTTTGGTTATTCAAGGGTTATGTAGGAGTTTACGCTTAGGTAATTCTTGGTTTATTCTTGAGTTATTATCGGGTTATTCTTGGGTTATCTTGAAGTTGCGTGTTCTATCAGATATTAGCGGGTCAATATTGGGTTATTTTTTAGTTATTTCGGAGTTTTGCAATTTTTTTAGCTCACTTTAGTTTCTAGGGTTCTTATTAGGTTATTTTTTTGTTATTCTTGTGTTATTTTAGAGTTCATCTCGACTGTGATTTTGCTAGTTTATCTAGATTATTGTTGGGTTATTTTGGGGTTATTATTGGGTTATTCTAGATTTAATCTCGCATTAGTGCGAAATTTTTGAGTTATTTTCGGGTTATTTTTTGGTTATTCAAGGGTTATATAGGAATTTATGCTTGGTTTATTCTTGTTTTATTCTGGCCTTATTTTTGTCTTATTCTTGGATTTTTTTATGGCTTATTTTTGGGTTATTCTAGGGTTATCCTTGTGGTAGTTTTGTGTGTGTACTGACAGTTACTAGAGGTTCGTTGTTGGGTTATTTTTGGGTTATTCTAGGGTTATTCAGGAGTTGAGCTCACTTGAGTTTCTGGAGCGATTGTTTGAGTTTATCTTGGGATATATTAATGTTATTCTCATGTTATTATTGTGTAATTTTTGGGTTATGTCGGGTTATTCAGGGGTTAGGTTAGAGTTATTTTTAGATTATTTTTTGGGTTATTCTTGAGTGATGCTTTTGTTATTCTTAAGTTAGCATTGGGTCTTTATTGACAGGTATTATTCATGTCTTTTCTAGGGTGTTCATTATTGGGTTTTTTTTTTTTGTTATTCTGTCAGTGTTAATAAATTATTCTTTATTCATGTAGGTTGGTGAACAAGAAGGCCAAGAATTGTAGATGTCGTCCATCGTCAGTTAGAGAAGTTATAAACAAGGTTAGACTAAATGTATTATATGAGACATGGTGAAAATTGAAAAGATTTGAATGTTAATCAATTTTTTGAACTCCCCCATACCTTAGAAATCATATCCTAACTATGCACATATTGAATTGATGGGATATTGATTGCACAATATTCAGACTGGGTGGTGATACGCCTAAAAAAATGATTACTTTTTCGTATACATTTTTATGCATATTTAATAATATTGCTCTTTAATAAATGTATTTTTGATGTTTTTGGTTGTAGGTACACCAAATGAAGCAAATAGAACAAATAAAACAAAAATAGAGTAAGTTAGAGTCAAAGGATGCATAATGGCTATTGTTGACCTGACACCCAGGAGCCGAAAAATAGAGAACCTTGGGCCTAGGCGCCAAGATCTGGTGCCTAGGTATTAGAGACGGTTTTCTAGATGGTTCAAAGAATGCGGACAAATTTTGAAGGGGTGTTTGAAGTGATTCTTAGTGATTTTGAGAGCTTTATTTAAAGAGATTTCTAGAGAGCCTTTTGAGGGAGTCTAGAGTGAATTTAGAGAGAGTTTAATGTGAGTTTAAAGAGGAGATGGAGAGTTAGATTTTCACGATGTCTGGAGAGATTGGTGAGGGATTTTGAGAGATATGTGTAAAGGAATTGTATGAGTGGAGAATGGATCGGTAGGGGACTTTGTTGGAGAGATTTTCATCTTTCTTTTAGAGAGAAAAAAACTAAGTATTGTGTTACACATCATCTTGTAATTATTGTAAACACTTATTAGTAGATTTTCTTTGATTTAATGAAGTTTTTTGTTTTGTTTTATCCATGCTTCGTGAATAGTTTTCTTTACTCTTTTCTTCTAATATGAACTAGTGGCATGTGTAGAAAAGTTTATTTTATGATAGAATAATTCTTATTTTTATGTGATGATTAATATCTCTTTTGCTTCATTGATATAACTTAAGTGGCAATATGTTACGTTAAAATTTGTTTTAAGTGAAACTAAGAATTAGGAGAGCAGTGACCTTGTGATCCCGACTGTTTATATGCAATAGTATAACAATGACTTTAATTACAGTTTTCACTTATATTCCCCTACTTTGCAACAGTGCCAAAAATTTGATCATAAAGAAAATAAGAATTTAAATTTTTAATTTATATATATATATTAGGATACTATGCAAGTATATGTATCGTTATCAAGTAATATAAGACTTTTTGATTAAGACCTAAATTTCGAACCCACAGGGAAAATATGCAATGTGCACTTTTGAACAGCAACTTTCTATTCTAAAAATACAATTACTTAAACTACAAATATTTTTGCAGTATTAAAATTCAAAATTTTTTGGTATTTTTGATATTTTGACAAAACAATAACAATTTAAAAATATAACTTGAGTTTATGTAAAAGAAAAGCACTAAATTTGATAAATATCTTTCTCCATTTCATGAATCAGTAATAAGTATAAGAATTTTATTGTGAATGTATGCAAATTGTGTTGTGCCAAATAGGAGCAATTATATTTTTTACCCTTACTAGAGATGCTATAAAGAATATTGACTAATTTAAAGTTTGAATAGTTCTGAAGACCAGCTAGGCAGGAAAGATACTAGCTCTCACTCTAGAGTTCCCTCGATTCCCTCCACCTAGGGATTAACATCTCGTATCAGAACCTAAAACAATAAACCAAGTTGGGGGCTTTAACCTGTCACTTTAAATTCCTCTAACTCTACACCCTTTAATGATTATTTTCCTATTTATTTGCACTAAATCGTATGAATTACATTCTCATTCATACAATCTCATGTGATTCTTTCCAATTATTGATTGAGATAATACCAGCCCGGTTCTTACATATTCTCACAACAAATTTTAACATCTGGATAGGTCAAATCAATAAGTAAATTAAGTTCATGAATTTAAATCATCACAACTTCTTCCAACATTAAAGATCAATACTCTCCACAACTTTCATCCAAACTCTAATTACTTATCATTTTAAGGAGAAAGATAAAAAAAAAAACTACTCAGAATCCATGGAGAAAACAAAACCACCCTTTAGTTTAAAAGTAGAAATCATTGTCAAAAAACAAGAAGTCTCGATTAAAACCAAAAGTAGTTTAAAACAAAAGATAAAAACTTATCTCAAATCCTCCATCAAACTCTTGAAGTTTCTTTGAATCTCTTCTCTTTTACAACACTCTTAACTCTCAAAATAAAATTAAAAACAAAAGGAAAAAGTAAATTTTGTGGTGCTTGAATCTCTCCACAAGATTCTCCACGATCTTCTTCTCAGGAATCCAACACTCTCTCCCTCTTCAAGCACCCATCTTCAAGTGTAAAAACTCACTTCTTTTATAAATCTCCAATAGGTGCCTTGATAACTCTTCAAAATGTGTCCAAAATATCGATGTATTCTTCAAAAGATGCCTCCTTTCACAAGTCTTTTAATAATATTTTCGTTCCTAGTGGTCATAACCACCCTCTTTAGCTAATAGGTGCCTCAAATACCTCTTCAAAATTCGACCAAATGAAGAAACCCGCCAAATAACTGCCTCTGGCACTTAAGCGCAGTCTTCTCTATTTAATCGATGGTTAAGTGTCGGATCTGGCGCTTAGGCGCCAAAACACTTTAGCACAATTTTCACGTTTTTGCTCCAAATTTGATCTTTTTTAACCCCTTTTAGCATTTTTCACATTTTTACTTATACTTGAAAGAAAAACACACAAATACCTTCCATTAAAGCACATTGTCTTAAAAATAGGTATAAAAATGCGTCTAAAAATACTATATATTTTAGGAGTATCAAAATCCCCCAAACTTAAAATGTTACTTGTCCTAAAGTGACACTTCTCTTCAAGTGACACTTCAATCTTTAAAAACTAAATAACTATGATATGTATATGAGTTTCTTTAGGAGTTACTAAAATTTATATTTAGAAATTTAGTAGTCCAATTTAGAAAAAATATTCAGTAAATGAGACCAACTTAAAGTTTAGAAATTTTTAATATTAAGAAATATGAAAATATGAGTTCATATCTAATTCAGAAATAATGTAGATTCTTCAAATTTAGAATTTAGTTCTTTTATTATCTCTACTTAAAAGTTTTTATTTTAAATAATTTTACTTAATATATTACATCCCTAAGCTTAAGAGTTTCTCAAGACTTATACTTTAAAAAGATCAAATGTGAAACCAATTTTTGATTAGACACCAATCCTCAAGCTTCTCCTCCCTTACATTTTTTATTTCTTTTCTTTTTCTTCTTCTTTTTTTTTCTTTTTTTTTCTTTTACTTTTTCTTTTTCTCAGGTAAGGATTACTATATCTGGATAGACATTTAATGGTTTTGAATTCCACTTCTCCTTTCCTAAAGTAAAGTTTTAATATAAGTCTTTTACTTAAAAAATATAATAATAGTTTTGAAAATTATTTTAATAAAAAAAATTTAAGTATTAAAAATAAAAGTCTAAATTTCTAAATTTTTCAAAAATAATTTTTTCTTATAAAAGATAGTTACACTATATTTAATATTTTCTATACTAAAAGTTTTTAACTGAAAGTTTGCCTTCATTACTCAAAATTTCAACTAAATTCTCTTACTTATTTCTAAAATCAAAATTTATTTTCCTAATATAACTTCATATACATGATCATTTTTCTTTTTCAAATCAAATTCACTTGTAGCACATTAGAGAACAAATAAAATTCAGTTTTTAAAATAATTTTCATCCCCCCAAACTTTAATTTTTAAA